TTGTGCAGACTAGTCAGGCTCAGACAGGGGATACCGGCACTTCAGATAAAGAAATTGTAAATGAGAAGGATTCATCAAATGCTAGCTAACGTTGACTGCTTCTGTGTACGTTTCTGTTTGCTTTTGTTAGCCTGATAAGATAGTTGTTCTTACACAAGTTCAATTGATCGTAGGATAAATTTCTTTTTTTTCCTTTCTTAGGTCTGCTAACTAACTGTGATTTTTGTCAGCTATGAGACTCCGATTGGCTAAACTCGAAAGCCAGTACTATTTCATGCTCCATAACTCAAGTCAAGGGAGGCTCCCCAAAACATTTTGTTGTATCATACTATCGACACTTACGGTTACAGCCTGCATCATTGTGTCAAAAATCAGGCTGAACAGTAAGGTATTGTCGTTCATATGAGTATGCGGTCTGTATCTTATGAATTCTGTACATTGTAGATTTGGTGCAATAACAAGAAAGTCTCACCATTTGGGCCAAGTTTTGATGGAACTAGAATGCGCTACTCCCACTGCTCAGTTTGTATTTGTGCGTTGCACATTTGGTTAGCTAGATATCTTCATCTTCTTTTGGCAATACACATTGCCAGAACATAGCAGGAAATGAATGCGGAATAATATTCTGGTTAGTGCATGTAGCAGGGTCATCTTGATAGTGGGTAAGCAGCTTCACGGGACGGGGCATCATAAATCTGCGAGCATACTTTATTCTGCATGGAGCTTCATTGAGTAGAAAAGGGAAGGCCTTACGCGATCAAGACAAGGAAGATATTCATCTTAAAAGCTTTCCCCATGTTTATTCCATTGGCCTATGACTAGGGAGAAAGGTTGGAAATCCATCTCTTTACCCTCGTTGAGGAAGACTGAGAGAATCAAGAAATCTGCTTGGAGCCTGCGACATTCAGTTGCATTGGCTTCTTGTTGTTATGATGTCAACTTTGTAGTTTATTGTTCTCGCAGGACGACTTTTCTTGGATTCCAGAGGACGTTTAGGTGGGTTTCGATGTGAATGCCTCGGTAAATATCTGATGCAATTCATCGACTTATTACTTTACAACTTTTAAAAAACTATGCTAGTTTTGCAAGATCTTGAAAAAAATCGTATACAATTCTATGTATCAATATTTTGAATATTTTGATGGATTTCAAGTGTTTCGTATCGAGTAAAAGTCAAATTCGTGAGCGTCCCCATCTTTTTTTTTAAGAAAATAAAAGTTAAAACTAGAAGTCATCCTAAATGGGCAGTTTGAATATGTAGAACTAAAAACCCAAACTGAACGAATAGAACATGTTTGGAAGGCACCTTTGGAGTTCAACTCATTGCGGTTGGCTTCATGTCTCTTCGCTGAAGATTTTTAACAAGCAACGTAGAATTGCTTTGAAAGTCCTAAATCTTATAGATGCAGTCTTACTTTTTTTCAGTTGGTGTAATTAGATTTTAGATCTTTGTAGAAAAGTGCAATGGACTTGTATACTTTTCAATTCTCGTGGCAAGTCTTTAAACTTACAATAAAAAGAGCAATTTACTGAGGGTATGTATGCAATTTTTAAACGCCACGTAGTCTTTAGCATTATTCGAAAGAACTTTATTACAAAGGTTTAAGATTTGATTGCATCAATTGTAAGGTTTGGTACTCAATTGTATTTTGCATATGAGGCCGAAGATTCCGGTGCACTTTTCCCAATGAGAACGAGGTTCTAGGTTTTCCTTTTTCCTTGATAAATCAATCGAGTCCGATCCGGTGCTTTGTTTGTCTTTGCTTTTCGTTTTTTTCTCCGTCGATAATTGACTTTCTTGACTTCGAAGTTAGCACAAGATCAATTAAGATTGTTGTTAGTTCAAAAAAAATAAAAAATTAAGATTGTTGATATATCCCACACCGCCAGTTACTGGAATTTTAACTGGCCCTTTTGTTCATATGGCGTTCGTCCATGGATTAACTTAAGCTTTTGGTTGGGCTTTGAAATTTGTTGTCGAAGTTTGGTTTCATCCTAGTGTTATTATGCGCGTGCAGCACTCTATTCCTCAATTCACATGCTGTTCTTAGATTTGCACGTGAAATGGGCGTTAAAAATTCTCACATGCTGTTTAGTCGATTCGCCTACATGTCTTGCTAATACTGCTATAACTTCTTTTCCGGGAGATGAAGCAATGACCATTAATGTATCATAGTAACTAGGGAGATTTCACCCCTTATCCGCTCTTTCCAGGTCTACGTATCGGAACTGATAACGTTCGAGGAACACAGGCTTACAATATTCATCGTACTGTGCTTCCAATCAGATTTGCATGTGAAATTGGGGTGTTGGTATCAATTTACCGTTAGAATGGCAAAACAATTTTCCTTAGAAAGGTATTATTCGCCAATGAGCGTATGAATCACAACCTAACTGCCTAGCCCTAAAAGAATTAGAGATGGTGCCCTTCATACGAGGGCACACTTAAAGGAATAGAAACGGAGAGATGGTGGGTGTTCTCCTTGTCTCTGCTGGTTGAGTTATAGTCGTCTTTCTTGTTCATGGTTGCTCCACAGCTGGTAAGGATCTATTTAGTAACGTTTTTGTTCCTAAAAGGGTTAATACCACGAAAAACCCTAAACTGGTACACTTGTGACACATTTACCCCAAACTATTTTTTTGACCATAAAAAATCCCGAACTGGTACACCTGTGACAATTTTACCCCGAACATACCACAAAAAACCCCAAACTGGTACACATGTGACAATTTTACCCCGAACTAATTTTTAATATTATTTTTTGAATTTTTTCTTTTTTCTTTTTTTTTTTTTTTTCTTCACCTTCAACCTTTGGCCGGTCGCCGGTCCGGCGACCGGCCAAAGGCGGAAGCCGGCGTGGGCCGCCCTCGCCGGCGTCGGGCAACCCTCGCCGGATCTGGCGAGGGCGGCCCTCGCCCGTGCGGGGCGAGGGTCGCCTCGCCGATTCGGCGAAGGCGACCCTCGCCGACGTCGGGCGAGTGGCCGCCTCGGCCAACTCAGCGAGGCGGCCTCGCCCTGCGCCGGCGAGGGCCGCCTCGCCCGACTCGAGAGGGCCGCCCTCGCCCGACGCAGCGAGGGTCGCCCGACTCAGAGAGGGCGGCCTCGCCCGACGCAGCGAGGGTCGCCCGACTCAGAGAGGCGGCCTCGCCCGACGCAGCAAGGGTCGCCCTCGCCGGATCCGGCGAGGCGACCCTCGGGCGCCGGGCAAGGGCCGCCCCGACTCGGCGAGGGCCGCCTCGCCCGAGTCCGGGCGAGGACAGCCCGACGCCGGCGAGGGTAGCCCTCGCCCCACGTCGGCGAGGGTAGCCCTCGCCAGCTTCCACCTCTGGCCGGTCGCCGGACCGGCCAGAGGTTGAAGATGAAAAAAATAAAATAAATAAAAATTCGAAAAAAATAAAAATAAAAATATTAAAATTTTAATTTGGGGTAAAATTGTCACATATGTACCAGTTTGGGATTTTTTTTGGTAAGTTCAGGGTAAAATTGTCACAGGTGTACCGGTTCGGGGTTTTTTATGGTCAAAAAAATAGTTTGGGGTAAATGTGTCACAAGTGTACCAGTTTAGGGTTTTTCGTGGTATTAACCCTTCCTAAAAACTATTTTTATTTAGAAATAATTTTTTCTATTTTTGTTCCCTAGACGAGTTTCTGAGTAAAAAAACGCGTTTAATAACTGTATAAAATTTCTATTTCTATTCGGGGTTTTGGGGTTTAACGTTTTAGGATTTAGGGTTTGGAGTTACGATTTTAGGGTTTAGGTTTTAGGGTTTCGGGTTTGGAGTTTTGGGATTTAGTGTTTCGAGTTTTGGGTTTAGGATTTGGGGCTTAGAAGGTTTAGGGTTTGGGTTTAGGGTTTTAGGGATTTGGCCTATGGGCTTTGGGGTTTTAGAGTTTTGGGTTTCGGGTTTTTCATTTTAGTGTTATGGGAGGGTTTGGGTATTGAGGTTTAAGGTTTTGGGGTTTAGGGTTAAGGCTTAGGATTTTGGGATTTAGGGTTAAGGTTTGGGGTTCAAGATTTGAGGGTTAATGTTTAGGGTTTGAAGGTTTAGGATTTTGGGTTTTAGGGTTTAGTATGAAAATATCTTGTGAAAGAGGGAGGGCCGATCGTGTTTCTCTATTGTTTCTTTTTTTGTTCAGTAAACAAAAAAGTAGATTTTTTTACTGCTTATTTCTGTTCCATATTTATTACCGGACCACTTTTTCTGTTCTGGAGAAAAAAAAAACTAATTGACGTTACTAAACGGATTTCTGTTCTTTTTCTGTGCCGGAGAACAAAGAAATAGAAAAATAGAGAAACATAAATGTTGCTAAGAAGCCCTAACTCGTCGTAGTACTTTTCTTGGATGAGCTTCTCTTGGATGCGTTTTTTAAGACGCTAGTCATTACCAGATCATATTAATGTAGCATCTTGTTGGCTTCATCAAGAGGGGTCGTGTGGTGGTAGATCACCGGTCTGTGGTGGATCGACGCTGAGGTGAGTCGATGATAGTGGGTCGGTCACGGAGGGTGGGCGACGATCATTGACCTACCATAGCTGTTGTAGTGGCTAAGCGAGAGATGCTAGCTCCCAATTACTATAAATTTAGTTTGTGTTGCAACATCTTTGACCCTAAATCGAGGGATCCCATTCGAGATGATTTTCAAATCTGAGTTTTATGTAGGTTTCCTCTCAAAACCTGATTTGAAAATAAGTGTGCAATGTTGGCGTGCCCTCAAAGTTTTCAGTCTTGTTTGAATCTCAGATTTCGTTTATTTTGCGAAAAATAAATAATTTAAAAAATACTTTTTCTTAAAAAAATCGCTCATATCATTTTAAAAAATGAATAAGCGATAAATAACTTCATTTACAAAAATATTTGGACATAAGTTATTGTTGATAATGAAAATATTTCGCACTCTCCATGGCAATTAAAGCGGTTACAGCACACCATAGAGGATCCTAACTTAGAGTTTGTCCGTAAGGGAGGGGATCTAAACAATTGTACATCATGCAACAAGAATACGAAGCAAGGAAACTCCATGAAATTAAACAGACTGGTCTAATCTTCAACTGCACAGTTTCTGTAATTCCAGCATTCCGATTGCTACAAGACTGACCAAGCTAATTACTTCTCAATCAAAGGCCATTCTTAAGACCACCTCTTTCAATGATAATCAGATTGGAAACTACACTTTTGAATTAATTACACAAAAACGAATGCTGCCCTCCATCGGTCCATCAACTTCGTGCTCCCTTCGGTCCCTCTGCTGATGATGCATCAATTGCCTCCACAAATCCTAATATTCTTGAAATGACAGGACTCCTTCGACATTATTATTAATGTACAAGAAGGATGATGAGGGCACTATGAATCACGAGCTTGTGTAGCGCGACGACGAATCACAGTCTCCACTTCCATGAGATGATTTCCTGGATTGTCGATCAAACGCCGTTTCCACTGGTGGGGATACCGTGCATTTGAAACCATTCGGGCATGTGGAATCTCTCATACAAGACTGGCCGTACATCTCTTTGCAGAGAAAGGTGCTTGAGTAGAGGAAGGAGAACCACCAAAAGCTTTAGATAAAATTAACGAATGTCAGGAAGATATTATCATAAAATTATGGAGATGGTAATGTTTCTCAATCCATAATGGAAGGATTTGAAGAACCTGATCATCATATGGCTGTCCAGCTGAGAACGGGACGCACGGTATTCCATTCAACGGTTGCAGCAAAAAGCTAAATGGGTTGTTGTCCACAATAACTATCCGAGACAAATTTTTTGATAAACAAGATAGATCCTTCACGTGTTCCCTATATTCCCTGTGATTCAAGCAGAGTGCAAATCTTGTTAACAAATCTGGTCAAGTCCACCAAGCTAGTAGCCAACACCAGGCGCCCATAGTAAAGGTAAGAATTTGAACTTCTGGTTGATGCGCGCACGAATTGATATATCAGACATACAAATCGAAGCAGAAGGTCCAGGGCAAGTTTGCTAAATGTGTCCCTCCCCTGAAAAGAACGGAACATCTAACAACATTCATATTACCTGATAATGGTATAAGCACATCACGATACGTGTTTTCCACTTCAAGGAAGTTAGCAGAATCATTACCAATATTCCAGGTCTTTTTCTTAAATCTAAACATACCATTTCAGGTTTAAGAACTACAGTAGTCAGATCCTCCAATGCTTACCCAATATATTCCTTATCAGTAAGAAAAAAATGGAAGTACACGGAAGTGTCTTGTATTGCCAAAAGTCATAAAAAAAAGATGTCATCCTTTAACATGATTCTTTTGTATTTCAACAAAGGTACCAATGTTTCCAGAAGTGGACCAACATGAAGGTTGGTCATGCTCGCAGTTCATGATTTAACTGATTCAATGCATTGTACTGCCAGTTAAATGTATCATGTCAACATGATTTGTAATTTATACAAATAGTAAAGCAATAGTGAAAAAGCATGCCCAGTTATAAGAGCAAAAATTCCCACATTTGCATCTTGGAAAATAACATTGAAATCCTGCACAACTCCTATTTTGTAGGTAGCCATATAAACCATAAAGCCTTTACCGGTATTGAAGAGTTATCCCACATCATCTGAATAAAGGGTTTCCATGGGCCTTATATACCAGTAGTCTCAATCCACTTAATGGCTTAAGCTTTTGGGTCGGAATTCTAATGGTCAGTAACAATTAATATGGTGTCAATAGTAAGCAAAGAGAACCTTAGCTAAAGTGGAAGTCTCATGTACTGCTCCAAGAGGGTCTGCCCATTTACTGTTTTTCCGGGTCAAAACCAGTTTGATCAGTTATTTTACAGGAACAGGCTGAAGATGAAGCAGAAGCAGAAGCAGACTTAAGGTTATTACCCAATCCAACCAGGCAAAGCCGCCATTCTGGTCTGCTTCAAAAACATTGACTATACAGATTACTATTATCACCGGCAATACATTTTCATGCAAGTTTTCCATCAATTGTCAAATTATCAAATCATTACCGGTTGATAGATATCTCGAGTCAATTTAAGCAGCACGGTTACTACAAAGCTAAAGGCTGGCATCCAACTCTCTAACACATTTAAAGATTTCTCTTTTAATTTTAGATGTACAAGATCTTGCACATTCAAATAATTCCTTATTGGCCATCCTTTTCCATAAAATGCAGTCACGGTTTCTCAAATGAAGAACATCTATGCAACCTCTTCCTCCTCTATAGATGCAAAAGTAATATTATTTTTGGGGTAAACGTAGTCGTAGAGAAGATATGTGACGCAAACATTGTAATTCTCTTGTCCCAGATACTGCTCGTACGTGATGAAAACAATGTTAACACCTGTACCTCGACTTTCGTAATTCCCCACTATCCCAGTTGAAAGGTTGTCTCATAACAAAACCTCAAGCTACTAAATCTATCCGTCAGTCGGTGAATTGAAACTGCTCCAACCTCATTCATCGTGCTTGTAGATCAACCAAGCTACATAGGCCAACTAGATCCATTCCCGTGATGGGAGTGTTGGGGTTGAAGCGTGCTTCTTTGTTGTTAGTACTATTGACATGGGAATTTTCCCCTAGTTTCTAGTGCTAAAAAAAAAAAATAATTTCATTCCTGTCGGTTTCCGGTTTTTGTTCCTGAATCATTTTTCCTCGCATTACATTCATCAGTTCATTAACACAATGTCTTGCCTGATTTCTGTCAAGCTTTGTTGTGCATATTGGTCTGTCAGGATCCTTTTCTGGTCTGCGCTGAGTACTTTTGTGTCGGTGCAACAATCTGATAGACATTTTTCCACTTTGGGCAGGCTCGAAGTCAACGTGAGATGTAGAAATACTGTAGAATCTGAGAGACTTGATCCAGAGTTCTTGTGCATGACCATGGTGACTCTCCAGCTCCTTGCAATTGGATTTGATTGCGAGGGTGTTCATAGTTCTGCTTCCTTTTTTGTATTGTTTATACCCCATCTGCTGCTGTAATTAGTTACTAAGTACCGAGTGACTTCATTAGGGTGCGGCCGGAGAGTTCCCCATGAGATCGATCGATGGAGATTTCTGTGATCTTAATATAGCATGACGAGGTAGTTACACACTTGTGTGATTCTTTCAAGCAAAACTTCTGTGAGTAGCAACATTATATCTTTCGCTCAGTGCAACCCGCATTGATTCATATGATCAGTAATCGGCAGGGACACCACTGCTGTGAGAGACTGAAGAGAATAATCTCTCGCTCTGGATGAGGAGAGAACTTGAACAAAAAGAAAACTTTTTGGGGTGAAAGAGGGAGTATGTTTTCCACCTGATCCTTAACACTTACCCCACTTAGCACCAAAATTGGTTCAGGCTCAAAACGTTGAAACATGCTTTCTGACAATAGAAGTAGCAAGTTTTAAGTAATTTGCACCAACTCCCCTAGCTCTCAAGTGAGATCTATGATGCACAGGCTAACATAATATGCAACAGCAAGCAGCTATAGCGTTTACTAGCCACAACCAAACATAACCTTCAAAAACCCACTATCTTATGAACTTCAAGAGAATAGTCTGTAGACTTTCATGCTAGATGAACTGCTTTTCCAAGTTGGAAAGTCTTGTACTCTAAGCTAACAACACATCAAAACTTCGACAGCGTCTTATGATTCAGACCTTAAATCCAGTTTAAGATCGAAACTTACAAAGACGAAGAGACATTGCACATTTGGGCATAATTCGTCCACAAATCCTTTACCTTTTGCAAACCTAATCATTTGCTTATTTTGTTTTTCCAAGGCAACGACTTGCAGATAACTTTCATTTGTCCATAGTTTCACAAGTCATACATCAGATTGAGAAAAAAGAGAGAGGATGAGGTTAGTCCTAAGCCAGAACTGATCTCCTATCCTTGAATTTCAAGTAATTCCTTTGAATGCAATCAATAATCAGCACAAACCACTTAAAACAGAATTTACATTGTCCTAAGTGGAAATAACAGGATATATAGAATATGCTTATGTGCTGACAGTCGAAGGGCGATAAAGACGTTCTCCAATCACGTTGTCTTTGTCCATTCTGTCCACAAGCGGTCTGGCGTAATCTGCAGGGAGCCCAAGTAGTTAAGCTAATGGACAAATTCACGGAAGGACGACAAATAATAGGAAATTGATAAAAAAAAAATGGCAATACCTTCAAGACCCGCGGTAAATAAAATAAGGTTTGCAAATTCACTGATCCTTTTCAAGAACTCATGCAAACCAGGGCGTTCAAACACCGTTACGTAGTTCACTTTTGGTTTCCCATCACATTCCTAAAATAAGCAAGTACTGCATTAATGACATGCTCGTAAGATTCCCATCACAATCGTTTATTAAGCAGGTACCACGTTAAATACATGCTCAAAAAAATTGGACTATGAGAGAGAGAGAGAGAGGGGCTTAAACCGGGCATTTCCATGACGAGTGTTGGAAAATTCTGCCGAGAGAGGTTGCCAATGCACGCCCCCGCCCCATTTCATCCTTTTTTCGGTTTGCAAACAAAATGAAAAAGCACGTATCCAAAAATTTCAAAGTGCCGTCGGCTGTCCTGAAAGCTTAAATTGTGATACGAAAAAAGGGTTCAATAATTGATTATCATAGCATATATATATATATATATATATATATATATATATATATATAATAAGCATAAACTTATTTTAATGATAAAATAATCAAAATATTCTCTCTCTCTCTCTTCTCTCTTCCCCCTCACTGTCTAGACAACAAAAGAACGAAAAACAAAGCGAGTACAAAAAGCACACGACTTCGTCGAAGCGGAGACCGGAGGAGGAGGAGGAGGAGGCCCCCTTCGGAATCCCAGACCAGTAGGATCCCGGCCGCCGCCCGCCGCCGCCGCCGACGGTGCTCTCTGCTTCCCCATTGCGCACGCGGAGAGCGGGCACGGCCGCCAAGCGTCGTCGGAGATGTACGTGCCCCGGTCGATGCAGGTGTGGCGGGGCCTCGTGAACTGGCTCGCCTTCTTCTTCCAAATCTTCCTCCAGATCCTGCGCGGCACCCCGTCCCTCGCCCAGTTCCTCTCCTACATCGGCCTCCGCCAATCCTTCCTCTCCGCCGCCGCCGCCGCCCCCCACCCCTCCTCCCCCCCGCCGCCGCCGTCCCCGGCGTCCTGCTCCCCGCTGTTCAAGCCCTTGCCGGTCGTCGAGATTCCCCTCCAGGATTCCTGCCCTCCCGAGCACGCCGGGTCCGACAGCGACGTTAACTACATACAACTCATAAATCAAGATTGATATCTAGAGCAACCTTACTCATTTCCTCTCGTGTTAGTTAGGGTTTAAGTTTCATAATCTCAACTTTGTCCTAAATCCCGTTTCTTCGTTGCCTCGTCGCCCAAGTTGTAGTCTCTTGGAACCAGTATTCATCTGCTCGTCATCTGTCTTGTGAAGAGCACTCGTGTGTGCTGATGTCGTGATCGACGCAGATGCATCCATGCGTTAGAAAAAATCCAAAACCGAACGCACCAAATGAGAGCGGCGAGACACCAGCTCCGCCAAGCCGTTGACTCGCTGTACTCTCGCGGGCGCCCGACCCCTGAGTCCTACACTCGTCTGGTGCTCGAATGCGTTCGTGCCCACGATGTCGATCAAGCCAGGCGATTGCAATCTCACATGGAGCTCCACTCCTTTCGACCTGACGACACCTACTTACACAATCGCCTCCTCCACTTGTACGCGAGGTCTGGCCAGCTCGACGATGCCCGGAAGCTGTTCGACGAAATGCCCAGGAGAGACGTTTTCTCGTGGAATGCTATGCTTTCGGCGCACGCTAAATGTGGGTCTGTTGGGGACATGTGGGCAACCTTCGATGAGATGCCTGTACGCGATGGTGTTTCCTATAACACAGTTATCGCGGGTTTCGCTGGGAATGGACAGCCTCAAAAGGCTCTGCAAGTGTTTGTGAATATGCACGAAAATGGGTTTGCGCCAACTGAATATACTCACGTGAGCGCATTGAATGCCAGTTCACAGTTGCAGGGTTTGAGGCTGGGAAAGCAGATTCATGGCAGGATAGTTGCTAGTAATTTTAGGGGCAGTGCGTTTGTTTGGAATGCGTTGACTGATATGTATGCTAGATGTGGTGAAATTCATTGGGCCAGGTGGTTGTTTGATCGCATGGTTGATAAGAATGTGGTTTCATGGAACACAGTGATTTCTGGCTATGTGATTAATGGGAATCCGGATAAATGTGTTGATTTGTTCCGTGAGATGCAATTGACTGGTTGTAAGCCCGATCAGATTACGGTCTCCAATGTCCTCAGAGCCTACTTTCAATGTGGACATGTCGTTGAAGCAGGGAAATTGTTTGATGAGATCAGAGAGAGAGATAAAATTTGTTGGACGACAATGATAGTTGGTTACTCCCAAAGTTCAAGAGAAGAGGATGCATTGCTGCTTTTTTGTCGTATGCTGTCAACAAATGTGCAGCCCGATGGTTTTACCATCTCTAGTGTGGTGAGTTCCTGTGCCAAATTAGCATTTTTGTGTCTTGGTCAGGCTGTGCATGCGAAAGCTATTCTTGTGGGAGTTGATGATGATCTGCTTGTTTCCAGTGCTCTTGTTGACATGTACAGCAGCTGTGGAGTCATTGCAGATGCTCGGTTCATTTTTAATAGGATGACTTCTAGGAATGTTGTCTCTTGGAATGCCATGATAGGTGGTTATGCACAAAATGGTCAAGATCTGGAGGCCTTGAGACTATATGAGGAGATGCTGCAAGGGAACATGAAACCCGATATTATCACTTTTATAGCTGTTCTTTCATCCTGTGTTCATGCCAATCTGATGGAACAGGGACAGAAGTATTTTGATTCAATCAGCAAAGTACATGGGATTACGCCAACTTTGGATCATTATGCATTCATGGTCAGCCTCCTTGTTCGATCAGGCCAGGGAGATAAAGCACTGAGTCTCATCAAGCAAATGCCCCATCAACCAAATAGCGTAATTTGGTCCTCTATTTTGTCTTCATGTGCAACAATGGGCGATATTAAACTTGGAAAGATAGCAGCAAGCCATTTATTTGATCTTGATCCATGTAATGCTGGACCATATATTACACTATCTAACATGTATGCAGCTAATGCCAGATGGAAAGATGTTGCATCTGTGAGATCTCTGATGAAGAACAGAAATGTCAGGAAAGTCGCAGCTTACAGCTGGATTGAGTTCGATAGTAAGGTCCACAGATTTGTGTCAGAAGATCGTTCTCATCCAGAGACAGATCAAATTTATGAAGAACTGCACAGATTGATAAAGAAACTACAAGTGGCTGGCTTTATTCCTAATACAAAGTCAGCACTCCATGATGTAGCTGACGATGAGAAGCTTGCATCTATAAGCTACCACAGTGAGAAACTTGCTCTTGCATTCATCTTGCTCAAAAACCCTGATGGTGCAATTCCCATACGAATAATAAAGAATATTCGTGTATGCGGTGACTGCCACATGTTTATGAAATATGCATCTGAACTTATTGGGCGCCATATAATCTTGAGAGATTATAACAGATATCATCATTTTATTGGAGGAAACTGCTCTTGCAATGATTGCTGGTAGTAAGAATTTCTGATTTTCAATTTTCTCAGACTGACGTCAGATGGTTAAGTTGCAGCTTTGTGGTGGATGGTCTGTTTGCAGCAGGAGCCCTTCGACTTGTTGAGATGAACTGAGCCAAGAGCTAGATGCAAGATCCTTTTCATTGGGCTACCAACAATGGATCATCTCGTTGAAGGTTCAGTTGATCATTTCTTTTCTCTTGGAAGCTACAACGAGGTGTTGGGGCTCTTCAAGCACCGGACTGATCTTCACTAGATGAGTCCATCCCCATGCCAATGCGTGCCGACTGATTTCAGGCACACAAGGCTGCTTATGGGAATGATCTGAATAGAATGTGCTAACATCATAATTCAAAACCAAATCTTGAGCAAGAATGACGAACAAGCTTATCAATTGAGGAACCCCAAGCAATTCATTGTTAGTTTATCACATGGTATGTTTGTAGCAAGGTGATAGCATCGCTACTAGCTTTTGAGACACAAATGCAGGCAATGTTAGCGGAAGCAGCTATTGTATGTGATGGGATGCAGAGTGAGGTCACTGGATAGGTCAACACTTCTTCACTCGGTGATTGTAGATTGTTCATGAGTTACGCTTGATGCTTATAAGCTCGGACCTCTGGATATCGTACAGACAATCTTTTGTTAAACAACTTAGATCAAGAGGAGCTAGTGACACTGGTTTGTTCTGGTAGGCAATCAAGTATACACTAAAAATAGGTTACTCCTCTTTCTCTGTAATGGTTTATTTCTATGTATCAGGTCCATTTCAAGCATTTAAATGAGGAGGCGAGGTCCATCTTAGGTGGTGGACTGGTTGGAATAGTTGGTCTGCTGCTTAAGTGGCCTGAAGGCTAATGTGCTGGAGACCCTGTACTGCAACCATGCGATCAAACAATCATAATCGCCACAGTGTCCTTGAGAGGGGTCTGTCCATTTAAGTCGAAAACTAATCCATATTGGCAAACGACATCAGTGAAACAGGTGGGCCCTTGAAGGCGTGCAGAGTGGGGTCAATTGAGCATGTTAATGATACCCATGAGAGTTCCTGAACTTCTATACCACTTGGATACATTTTGAAATATTTAAGTGGTTGAGTAGTAACTATAACAAATTTAATGAAATGGAAGTTATTGTTGTATTGCTGTATCGGCAGGAGTGAAAATTAAGCTGGTTTTAGACATAGCCTGCACTTATTGAACCTTAGCGGTTACTTGTTGGTGGCCACTGAACCTGCCTATAAAAGCTATTAAGGTCTTGTTTCCTAAGAATACTCTGATCGAGATGGGAGTTCTCCAAACTTTGCGAAACTTCCTTGTGAACTGTTATTGGATTCTCATCTCATCTAAAGAGGAAACCTCTTACTATATCATCTGTGTATCTACCCATCTATACAGCAGTGGGGTTGGTTCTTGGCAGCTGCTGTCCCTTTGTCAAACAGAGAAAGGAAAGATGAGAATATGGGGGCAACTTGAGAGAATTTCAGGACACAGGATTTGCAGGGCTCTATTCAGTTATGGAATTTTGAATAAGGTAGGCAATAGCATTGTCTGGGCTTATTGACCATGTAGTCAATGGAAAAGGCATTGGTGGGGACAGTGGGCTGCAAAGCCTCTGATGTAGCGATTTATGCCCTCCCTTGTCACTTAGCATGTGTTTGGGTGAGGTATTATCTACTACTGTTTAGGCCTAATTTCTATCTCGACTTAATATCTCCTCAATCCTCTTTGCTGACACCTCATTGATCCTCAAAATAGAGATAGAAGTTAAAGTAGGGATTAAGTCACCATATAGATGTGGCAGAAAATGAGCTAGGTTTCTTTGAAGAAAGAAGGCATTAGTTAGCTAGGCACTTTATTTTGTTATTGAAGGTTGTCTGGACCGATGTCTCTTGCAAATGAAGCTTCCTCGGGTCCCTTAGTGATAGCAAAAGAAATCATCATTATGCCTTCTTTTAGCCATGAAATGTTTTTTATATTTAATTCTGTTCGGCTTGGAAGGTATTTGTTTAAGAGTTACATTTGCCTGATCCTTCTAATTTCATTACCATGTCTATCTCTTCCCTTTTCTTTTTCTTTTTTTGTGTAAAAGAACTATATGGCAGATGTTGGTTGCGAGGATGTACCATTGATGACCTCTTCTCTTATCCTGCGCTTCTTCAATCTTATCAACTTTGGAACCTGTGTTTGTAGTATAAAAAGGGATTGTTGGTATCCCCTGTGGTACTAAAAGGATTGTTGCATACACATGCCTTTCTCGTATACAACTAGATGTGCTTCTTCTGAAAGTTTTAGTTTCGTAATGCTGAC